CTGGCTGAAATTTGTCTTTGGCACAAAAAAATAGAAAACTGTCACGTACTGAAAGTTTGTTTCCCGGAGTCTGGACCGTCTGATCAAGTTGATGTTCTTTTATTCTTGTTCTTTAACTCAGATTTGCTGTCGAGTGTTCTTAATAAAAATCTGTTGAATGACTCAGTTAATAATGTTTTAAATGATAATGATAACTGGACTTAGTCGTGGTAGCAGCTCAGCTCACTTTATCTACTAGGAATAAATTGTTGCAAAAAATGTAAAGGTCTTATATTATTCTCCTTTTCAACCAGTTTAAATAAGTCTCAGATCTCCCCGAAACATGTCTGTGAAGTTTCTTGTTCTAAATCCACTCTGATCCTGTATTTCATCATGAATAAAAACCCCTCTATTTCAGCCCTGCTCAGAACAGGCTGTTTCTGTGTCTGTACCTTTAAATATGTAAATGCTCTGTGTCTGACCACGCCCCCTCTCTGGAAGGGCTTTGGGTGCCTTGTCTTTCTTGCACTATGCCCTATTGTTAACGATGAGAAGGCAGACTCAGAGGGCAGAACAAACAGAGAGTCACCCACCTGGGGGAGGGGTTACTGCACTTTGTGATGTCACAAAGGGAAAATCTCCAAACGGCCTGTTTGAGAACACATTTTCTGAAAAGTGGAGTAAGCAAAAGATGGAGAGGATGGACTTTTCTCATAATAGGGGGGTTCGAAGAGAGACTAGGGACTCATACTAGTGTTAGAAAAACATGGTGAAGTGTATAACCTTTAAAGTTACCTTTTTTTATATGTATTTTTAAAATGAGTTGTTTTCCTATGAATCTTCACGTTCTCTTTGTCTTCAGCTGCTGGCCTGTACTACTTGGCAGAACTAATAGAAGAATACACAGTAGCCACCAGTCGAATAATAAAGTACATGATACTGGTGAGTACACAGAGAAGCCATTCTCTTTTCTATTTAAGAATTTACTGCAGTCTAATGTGTAGTGAAAAGACCCCGCTGATTTTTGTGTGAATGTTTCCAGTTCTCCACAGGTGTGCTGGCAGGTCTCTATGTTTTTGAAGGTTTCCCTGTGTTCATGGTGGGCGTCGGCCTCTTCACCAACCTGGTGTACTTCGGCCTCCTGCAGACGTTCCCATACATTCTGCTGAGCTCCCCAAACTTCATCCTCTCCTGCGGTGAGTAGCACAGACGCTCGCTTTACCGCAATTGTTTAATTATTTTGTAAAAGAGAAAAATTGGGATAGAAACCTAAAACCTCAAATCATGACCCTAACAATAATATGAACATCTATTTCATCCTCTACAGTGTTGGTGGTGGTGAATCATTATATGGCCTTCCAGTTCTTTGCACAAGAGTATTATCCCTTCTCAGAGGTACATTCATTTCAGTCTCTGATGTAATCACTTTATTTTAGAAATTAGGGAATATTTTCTCAATTCAAATAACTCCCTGTTACTAATCTTATAATCTTGCATTTGTTCCTGACCTACGTCAAGGTGTTGGCATACTTCACCATCTGTCTGTGGGTGATCCCCTTCGCCTTCTTTGTGTCACTGTCAGCGGGAGAAAATGTGCTTCCGTCCACCATGCAACAAGGAGGTGAGCTCTTTTTTTTTTAAATTCTCAAGTGTGCTGCTGGACGCAGTATTGATGGTAGTCAGTCATTCAAGCATCGAGTGTTCAACACTTTTGAAGAACTTTTGAAGTTTGACACGGATGTTTTCAGCCTTCAGAGCTTTTTTCTTTTCCAAGTTTCTTAGCAGATTCTTCAGTTTCTTATCCTCATTTAAAAAAAAAAAAATGATGATGAAATTAATTACATTGTAATCACTTGGAAATCTGGTCTTTTGTTGCATTAACCTGCTCCTTAAATCCTCCATTTCCAAAATAGTCTTAAAACAGCTTAGATGCTACAAAGAAACGGTTAGATTTGTATTTATTTTTTTCAACCCTAAATCTAAATTATGTTTTTGTTCACCATATTTCTTCGCTTTGACTTCTATTCGGCTACTGACAAAAATGGGTTTTTTTTTTGCTGATTTTTGAGTTATTGTTCTTCCTTTAGGGCGTGTTCATGTGAATTTTCTCTGTTGTAAACTTTCTCTGACAAAAAACAAATGCATTTAAAGTCCTTTAAAGCTACATGACAGTTTTAGCTTACGTGCTAATTCTGACCAGTTGAATCAGTCGGTAGAGACGAGACTGTAGATCCGGGCTAGCATTAGCACAGTAGGTCAGGAAAACCTGGACGGGATCATTGTATTATATTTAATCTTTAATAAACATAATGCAGGCGTAGTGTGTGGACAATAAATGGATGGTATCATAAACTCTCTCCCCCTCCCCCTCCTCTAGACGACGTGGTGTCTAATTACTTCACGAAGGGCAAGAGGGGGAAGAGGTCTGGGATCCTCCTCGTCTTCTCCTTCCTAAAGGAGGCGGTGCTGCCCAGCCGACAGAAAATGTACTGAGGGCGCTCGGACCTGGGATGCAGCCTCGAGGGTCGGATATGTGTGTGTGTATGAGTGTGTGTACGTTCATGGGAAGCAGGAAGGACTGTGAAATCAAAAAGAGAGTTTCTGGAAGGGACTAAATTGAAGCAGTGGCCAACGTGGAGGAAGCGCACTGGAGGAAGACGGACCAATGAACAGGACAGAGCTTTGTGCTGGATGAGTTCACGCAGCCCACGTTGGTCTCTCTTTTTGTCTGCGTGTGTTTACTGACTACCAATAACATCTACTAGAGACCTCCCCGCGGTGATCTTCTCTGTAGCGCAATGCTTTCTAACTGTTACATTGGACTTCTCCATTTTTTTTTTTAAAGCTTTGGTAATTCAATATTTGTGTGCAGGGTCTGACGTTATCAACCAACAGAAACCTGTCAACTTTCACTTTTGGCAGATAAATCATCAGACGTCTTCTTAAGACGCCTGCTGTCTGTTGTGTTTTTTTTAAGGTCTCACGCTTGTACTTTTTATACACAAAAGTAGCGTTTGAAAATCTAGGAAAAAAGCAGAGATAGATGAGACGGCTTTAAGGTACTTCTAACTCCTGATGTCAAAGCTTTGATTTTGGTGCCACGTGATCGTAGAAAGCTGAAGGCCAAATGCCACGGACGGTTCTCGCGGAGATCACCTCAAACAGAGTGAAGTTGTCATGAATCAGCTCGATACAGAAGTCCTTTTCCAGTTTTAAGGTGTTGCATGCTAAAAGTGCTCTTGTCACATCGCATCATTAAAAAAAATGTGCTGATGAAGACACGTAGAGATGGATAACGTATAATTAAAAACTCCTTAAAAATGTCATTTGGATTATTTATAAGCGGCAACAAAAACGCACTTTCTTTTTCTCTTTGTTTTAAGTCGACACATTCATTCATCACCAGCACTGTAGTCTGCAACACACCCTCCTTTTTTATTTTTTAAATCACAGCCAAAATAAAGTGATTTTTTTTTTTACATGATCGTTGAGTTAACCTGACATCAAAGTGAATAAACATTTTTGAAGATCAAACCCGGGTGAAGACTCCTGAAAGCTCTCAGGTGTCACGGACAAAAAAAAAAAAAAAGCTGCTCAAGGTGGTTCGATATCAAAGAAGTACTTCTCCTGAAGAGGCTGACATTCTTTCTACCAATTACAGAGTGATTCATTGTAGGATGGTATCCACACAACTGTAAAATAAAGATTTTGTTGAAGTAAGTGGCAGATGAAATGTTTTTTTGTTTTTTTTTACTGCTTTGTGTTAAAAATTCTTTGAAGAAATGGATCTGCTGATCTTCGCCTTTTTTAAAAATCAGATGAGGTGACTTACACAATTGGAATGTGAAATTTAATTAAATACCCTTTTCCATCAAGAATATGTGTGTCTAGCTTTGTAAAATCCAAATCCTGTGTGTTGAAGTCACAGTGGGCACATCTAGTAGAGGCATGACCTTTTACCCCTGCTGAGGTGTGAAGTTCTTCATGAAGTACAAGACAAAACCTCAAAACACACACACACACACACACACACACACACACACACACACACACACACACACACACACACACACACACACACACACCTTTCACTGACAGGCCACACCTCACAGTAACAAACGTACTGTTGACAAGCCCTCACTTGGATCCCGAGTCGCTTCCCTGGGGGGGATCAGTGGAAGTGTAGGGGGGGTTGCAGGTGTGACAGGTGACCCAGTTCAGTGAGGTTTTCTCACCCCCATTGTCCACCCTGCGTCTGGAGCAGGTGACATTTTTAATGTTGTCACTTTGAGGAGAAGTTGAGTGTTGGCAGGAGGTTTTTTTTGTTCAGGAAAACATCTGCTTTTATGCCCACTGGTTACCTTCCAAATGAACTGAGTTATTCTCAAACAGAAACTGGCATCAGTATCACAGCCTCCATTACAATACTGGTTTCGGTAAATCAACCTTTCAATGCGCTGATCCAATTTCATATTGCATTGAACCTCCCAGATATGAACTGGTTTTAGTCAAATAATCATGCAGAACAGTTTGCTTCGAGCAGAGAGTGTCATTATAGTTCAAGCTTGTAAAATGTTGGCCAACAGTATTTCATTGCATGCATTTTTAATCTCTCTGCTATGGGGATACTCGAGTCTAGATATTGGATTCAGTATTTTGAAGGAAAAATAACTGGTATTGGTGAGGGGACACGGCCTGGTATCTATTCACTACATGTCTTCCTAACCCTCTGGTTACTCACATGGTAGTTTAAAGCTCCTGTGAGAAGTTTTTAACTGGTTATGAAACAGTCTGAAATGAATACTGATGACTCCATATGACCTACTAAAGCAAACCAGACCATTAGAAACTAAGTCACAGGATGTACCAAAGTCAAAAAACAGAAAGTTCTTTACAGTAGCTTGAATCCTGGAACTACCAATATCTATCAAATCTTGTTTTTTTCCATCTCTATCTGACTTAAGACGTAAAAATGGCTGAAACGTTTCAATGCCAGTTGAGTTTTAATGCATGTCTTTTAACACCCTACTCACATATGTCGAGTTTAAGCTCTTTGAGAACAGTATCAGGGGATGAGTAGTGTCTGAACTCGAACACCTCAACCAGGTGCATGGCCACCTCTGTCCAGGGGGAGGTGCTCCGCCCCTGGGGGTTTCCTCTGCGCTGGACCTCCGTGATGTCCTGGGCCTCAAAGTGCCGAGGGGTGGCCATCCTGGAGGGGAAAGCCCTGGGGAACAACACCCTCTCCAGGACATCCAGAGGCAGGTCAGGGGCAGGGCGAGGCGTGCCGTCCCACTTTGTGCTGTACTGAGGCAGCCCGCGGCGCCCGTCCCCCCACAGTGTGACAGAGCCCCGGAGGTCTGGGTCTCTGTCACAGAGACTCTCTGGCTGAAGAACATTATAGACCGACCAGGGCCTGGAGGGGGCTGCAGGTGTTTTAGGCCTGTCCTCCTGGCCCTCCAGTGGTTCTTTGCTGGTTTTTAGATTGGAGTTGTCCTGATCTGATAAGAGGCACTTAGTGTGAAACTTGCTCACCTGGACTCTCGGGGAGAAATCCTTCAAGAGAGGTAATCCTTTCTTGTTTGCCCACTCTGCAATATTCTCATCAATGAGAGTCTGGAAATGGAGACAGAGAAAGTGTTATGAGTTTCTTAGACATAATTGAAATGAAATTAAAATCTGAAATTAAAAGCGCCCATGAGGAAATTTGGTGCGCAGAATTTGGTGCCCCATGTGGACTAACTTGTATCCCCTGTAATCTCTTCCCTTACCCCCCTTCCCTTTGACAGTGAAAGGCATTCTGATCCATCTGACAGTTTGTGAACCAACCTTTTTATTGAGGTCGTTCAGTTTGACCGTGTCCACAAGATCTCTGTATAACTCCTGCACCAGCTTCCTTTCCTTCACTTCTTTGTCCTTCTCTTTCTGCCAAATGCAGCTTTTCAGATACCTACACAGCAAACACAAATACGTCTTTTAAATAATCGACACATGTTAATGGAAAAGTTTGAATTGTGCTATGAAGTATTCTTTCAGGTACCTTGCTACCTTCCTGTTGCAGAAGATACGGGCGAAATTCAGAGGAGTGATTCCCATGTTGTCCCGAGCGGAGACATCTGCTCCAGCCCGCACGAGGATCTCTGCGCAGTCCAGGAGACCTTCAGAGGCAGCCAGGTGCAGCGGGGTCACCCCTGAATCGGAGGTCCTAGTTACATCAGAGGAAAAAAAAAAGAAGCTTTATCACCATCATCTTCATCATGTTTGTCATTATAATCATCAGTGGTATCATCATTATCCCTCGCAGCAGCCGCTTTAAACTTTCATCATCATCTCATTGCAATCATAACTTTACTTTCACACTCCTAAGCTTTTAGTGTGCACTTGCAACAGCTGGATGCCACTGGATCCAGCTGACAGAATTCATTTAAAAAAAAAAGAAGAAGCATCTGTAATCGAGCAAATGAAGCTTCCTAAACTTAAAAAAAAACAAAAAAACAACGTGAAGCTTTCATCCAGAGAAGACGATGCTTACACAGTGACGTCAGCGCCGCGCTCCAGGAGGAATCTGACGCACGAGGAGGTGTTCGGGGAGCTCGGGAGGACAGGACCATGTGGACGGGCCGGCGACCCTGCTGATCTCTGCTGTTGACCCACTCCGGTTTGGCGTCCAGGAGGAGCCGAATGGTAGCCAGCTGGCCACAAAGGCAGGCCATGTGAAGGGCTGAGAGACCCTGGAGGTTAAAACCCCCCCAAAAAAAACACAAAGCGTCATTTTAATGATGCTCTCTATTATGAATGAACTGTCTTTTTGACCTGTGAGAGGAAGTGTCCTGACTGTCAGAACTAAACGGCCTTTCACTACACACTTTTTGTTCTTTCAAATGAGTAAAAACACAGGATTTTTAATTGTTGTAGGGATGCAGTTCTGTGTGCTTTCCTTTGACATGGCTTAAATTGAGTGAGCCTATTATTGAACGTTAACATTTTTGCTTTCTGCTTTGAAAAGAAAAAGGACCTTGAGATTTAATTAATTTTGTATCGTTTTAAGTTATTTCCCTTTTGTGAAAGTGTCTGCTGTTAAATACATCATTCCCAGTTCAACTTTATTTTTTTTTGAAAGAAAGACAGAGTTTTCTTTTTTTTTTTAAATTATAGTTTCACATTTTAATTTTGTAAAATACCACCAAGGACTTCAGAATAATTCTGAACCACATTAATTGCATCAAGGTATCCTTTTTAAGAAATTATTTCTGACCAGTTTTTCTGGCTCATTTCCCTTCAGTGTTGTATATGTTGTTTAATTTGTTTTCATTAAGAATTTGGAGAGAGATACTTTTTTACAAACAGCATAGTAATTTTCTCTATAATGTCTATGACACAGAAGTAAGATAAGTTTACAATCCAACAGTCTGTTATGTTATTGAACCTACCACAGTGTCCACGATGACTTCCAGCTTCTCTGTGCTGCCTTCATCAACATCTGGACACCTGAGCGCGTCTGCAGGATCTCTGCGGGTACGTTTCCTATGAAATGACGTCATGTACAAAGTATGAAGGGTGACTTATTACTACAAGACCCAACGACGAACACTTTGAAATAACGAAACCGGACCATTGTTCAGTGTCACAAATTCACTTTCATGTACGGTGAGTCGGCTAAATCATTAAAACAGCCAATACAACAAACATAACATGATTTATGTAAACACCTGGAGGCTAAGGCTAAAGTAACATTTAAATAAATGTACGAGCTTGCATAAACTTTCATGTTATTTACCGATTTTTACGTCTCCCATGTCTCTTTTTCCCGGATTTGTTGACAGGCTCCATCGTTGTCATGGAAACGTAGTAACCAGGAAACGTACTGTGATTTAAGGCAAAGTTGAAACTCTTTTGAGGTTATAGTGTAAAAAAAATCATAGACTGTAAAGTAAAAATGCGCAATAAAAAATGTTTATAATTGACCATTAGGCTACTTAGTCCATATGTAATGTTTTTTTTTCTATTTGACATTTTGATAAAAAAAAAAAAAATCATAGACTTTCAACAACACAGTAGGCTACCACATAAACACATGTCCCATCACGCTTTCCGTCGGACTGAATGTGTAGTAATATTTACAGTCTATGGTAGCAGGCCTATAGTATATTTTGAGCTTGTTTCAGTCATCTTCATTTACTGTCCACTCTTTCTGTATTCAGATGATGTTGATATGCAGTTAGATGCCATTTGGGTTGCTCTATAGTTTTTCTTCAGCTTTGACCATAACGAGACTATTGCATTTTTACTGCTGGTCTGAAAAACTTCTGATGGTGAGATCGTATTTCCAGTGTCTGAAAATGAGCAGAATATACTGATACAGAGAGGGTAACGCTACAGACACACGCCAGCTCTTTAACAGTTTGTGGAAGCTGTGGACTGTGTGATTCTCCTTGTCTCTTGCTGATATTCTCCTAAACATGAGTGAATAGTGTCAGTCAGTAAAAACCTCTTAACAGTTCTATGTAGGCTTTCACTTCTCAGCCTACTGAAAGTAGTAGAAAATGTTAGGACAGTACGGCCGTTTAGGCAGCGAGCTATTCTTGTCTGCCTGTCTGAAACTGACCCAGCAGAATATCCAACTCATTACCATGTTTGTTTAAAATGCATACAAAGCAGAAGTGGAAAAAGAGAAAGAAGCTAGAGGTGCAGCCACCTGATATAAGATGATATAGATAAAGCCTTCAACAACATAAGTTTGTTAGCTGTCAATCTCTAAGATAAACAGGAAAACAAATGGCCACTTCTTTATACAGCATATTCAATAACACGTGTTGTGTCTGAGTGTAAAAGCGTGTGATGGATACGGGCAGATGAGTGGCTGCAGGCATGGCAGAAATGGATACTTCCACCCTCCCATGTTGGGTCCTCAGCTCTCTCCTCCTACTGTACGTCTGTGTACTGTGCTTGTATTGATAGTGCAATAGAAGTGGCAGCTCACATTAAACCGGTGTAAAAGCAGATCGATCCTGCCAATGCTGTGGAGGCCTCAGAGGGCCCGTATGGATTCTGTATGAACAGTTATATTCTCCATGACTCTGAAGGACTGAGGGGTCGATGGGCTCATCGGGCAGCGGAACTCTCTGATCACTGCTATTGATCACTTGACTCCTGACTGAAGTAAAGGGGGGACATGTGCATGAGAGGACGATGAGGCCTATAGTTGGAATATCAGCAAATATTCATTAGCAGGAATAAAAGATCAAAAATCACCAGAAATAAATCACAGAGATATAAATGTCCTGAGGGGAATTCTAACCACACAGCAAGCTTAAAAAACGTAATTTTAACAAAACTGTCTGGTGCCATTTCTCCCTGAACCCAAATTAAAATATTATTAAACATGGCGCCCAATTTGGATGCCCACTATTTTTCACTTTCCAATCCTTTGAATTGATAAATATTCTTAACATACATTTATTATGTTTGAATAAAATTGAAAGATAGAAAGATATGTACCATTGTTGGGTTTTAAATATTTAATACTCTTTTAAAAACAGTGACCCAACTAATTAAATTGGACTAAACCATTTGTGGGGGTGGTAACTTAACTCAAGCAGCATTTGGGCAAATAAATATGAAAGTAAGTTACAATTTGATTAATAAAAATGAACAAAGCTATACCAATACCAAACGTCTTTACCTGAAAGTTTTTTTCGAGAAACCACTTCCAAGAACACCCCCACACACACTTTTTTTTTTTTTTCACATGGAGCAGTCAGGAAGTATAAACTCCTTTTGGCTCCACAGCTGACCCTTTTTTTTGTATATTAAGTTTAACAGGTAAAAGTGCAGACATAATTAAAATCCAGTTGTAGGCAGTAATGAGGCTTTAAGGATGCCAAAACAACATCCAAAGAAGAAGAAAACGCAAAGGTACAACGCTGACTTCTGATTCATGTTTCATGATTTATGTGAGGCTGAGATAGAGGATTGATTTGGATGATTTCTAAATATCTTTTTTGCAAATCTTGCTCGTCAAAAAATCTTTAAACTTTACATCTACTAGCTAGCATGTTGACAATGATGTACATTCTCAAACAACTGGTTTAAACTGGGGTTTTTCTGTGTTAAAATAATTCCCATGTCAAGACCCTTTTGCACACTGGATATTTTAAAATGTATCACAGATCTCTTTTGTTGTCTCAGGAACTTTTTAGAAACTTATTTGAGTATTTCTATGTCAAGTTTTCATGTTCCTCAATGTTGTTAAGTTCACTGTTAGATGTGTTGTCTTGACTGTGATTGTAGCCGCAGTCACTAACAAAGGAAAAAGATTTCATCTTTGGTATTAAATTTTACTTTAGTGTTTTACTCTCCTTTTTTTGGACCTTATGGGTAGGAGTTAGCTCATATTACTGGATAGAATCTGTGTTTAAGAGCTCAGATGAATACCAAAATAAAGGATGCCACAAACGTTGACTCCTTGCTTACGTTACTTAAATCTAAATATTGCAGCTTTTTTTCCTGTTATATTTTCATTCAGTATTTTAAGGTGTCTTCCCCTTTTTTCATCCTCTCATTGTCATTCCCAAAGCCATCAAGGTCTCGTGGTCGGTCAAGGACGGGGCATGGACCCCTGGCTTCATACTCCAAGTGCCAACCCCCCCCCGAGCCTTTCGCCTTCATCACAACACACACATGAGGCCACTTCAGTGACACGTGTGTGCGTCGAGAGAGTGAGTAACCCTTTTTTTTATATACGTGCATGTTAATGTGTGTGCAGTGTGTGTGTGTGTGTGTGTGTATGCGGGATAATAGAAAGAGAACAGCACGCCCCCGTTGAGGCCTCAGCGGCTTCCTCTGACCTCGGTCATATGTCATAGTGGTTGTACGGAGCCATCGTGGTAGAGCTCTTTCATGTTTGACTTTCAACACAAGTCCCTGGACAGCAACCTCTGACGTGACCTCTTTATTCTGACAGTTGTGTTTTACTTTCAACGTGCTGTCAAATTCAGCCTGTACAGGTTTTTGTAAAAGCTTTTTTTCATTTGGCATTTGTCGCTCGATTTGCATTAAATGTCGATAAAAGAAACATTTATTCTGACTGTTTGACTCATAATTCAAAATTAGTAGTTCTTTTCTTTCATCCTAAAATTCTCGCTGCCTCCAAACACACAATGTAACCGGTGTTTGTGTGTGTGTGTGTGTGTGTGTGTGTGTGTGTTTTGTGAGTGTGTGTGTGTGCATACATTAGCTACAGTACATCCAGTTGGTGCAGAGCAGATTAGCAGCGGGCCGATCAGAGCTGTCTAAACCTGCTTAGGGCGAGGATGAAAATGAGATCATGTCCCAGCAGCCTCGCAGCCAGCTCTGCCATTGGTCTGTTACATTATCCAATCACATCGCGTAAGGCTTTCATTGGAGGAAGGTTGGGAGCTTTCTGCCCGGCTGGTGGCACCTGACCTACGTATGGTTCAGGTCTCATATCTTACATCAGATGAATGGAAACACATTTAGCTTTTAACGAACTTTTTGGGTTGTGTATAAAATCCTTCAATTCTGTGTCGGGGTGTGGGGCCATTTGATCACATATTAACATTAGATAAACTGCAAATAATGTGGAGTGAAATATACTTTAAAAGCTCAGCAATGATTCCTGAAAAGACATTTGATGAGGTAGATTTTCCACCTGATTTACAGGAGATTTACTCGAGTGAATTATTTAGATTTAGGAGTTTTTTTTATTGGAAGTACACAAGTAATCTTTGCTGTTTCTTCTGTCTTTGTCACGTAATTTTTACTCACTAATTCCTAGTTTTTTATTGATTATAACACTACCTTTTCATTTTCCGACCCCAGCACAGTGTCAGCAGAAGGCTGTTCAACATGCTCGAGGTTTCTGCCTCTTAAAGGAAGTTTTCTCTGTTGCCATGTGCTGCTCATGGTGGAGTGACGTTGGGTCCAAATTCTTCCCAAAACTTTAGTGGAAAGTGTCGGAATAAGTGATGAACAAAGTAAAAAAAAAATGAGAGTAAGAGAACAGGAAAAGAGTTAAAGAGGAATCCAATTAAAGACAGACTTAGAAATAAGACGATAAGGGGCAGAAACCAAAGTTAACACATCTCCTCAACATGCCTCCATATTTGATGAGCCGCCTTACAAGGACCCTGAAGCCCTCGGGCTTCTGAATCCCGCTTGTGTAAGTGCGCTGATGCTCTCGCTTTCCTCCCTCTCCCTCCTTCTTCCCCTGGTCCTCCTTCCCTCTCTTGCTTCTCCATCGTTTCTCCTTTTACTCTATCCGTTAGCTCCTCCTCTTATATCTTCTCTTCTCTCTCTCTCTCTCTCTCTCTCTCTCTCTCATGCTCAACGAGGCGGCAGCGCGCTAATGCACCATGGCACATTCTGCAGCTTGGAGTCACAATGCGACCAGGCTTTGCTCAGTGACCGCACAACGACCTCGCTCAGTATCGCTGCACAGTGATGCTGTGCTGTACCAGGGCCCGTTCAGGGCTAAGACTGAGGCAATGTAAGGGGGGCGGAGTTAAATGGTAAAAAAAAAGGAGAGAAAGTGAGAAGAAGAGTTCTGCCAATGAAAGGTACAACCAAATTGGATGACAGATTGTGAGTAGTAAAATACAGAAGGACACAGAAAGCCTTACTGTAAGTGTCAAACTTAAGGAAATGTTTCCCCTTCTGGAGCACCCAGCATGATGACTGCCTCTGCGACCAGATTATTCCAAGTCATGCATGTGGTTTCTTACACGGTATATAGCTAATATCGTTGCACCTGTCAATGACCCAACAGCTTAACCAACAGCTAACCCAATGCTCCCACTGGATGTCCAAAT